CCTGCGCGTTTTAAGGCAGGCCGAGCAGAGTTTTTTGACCAATTTGATTTCCTTAGGGGTGCGGACGAAGTGGAGTTCGGGAAAGTTCCGAGAGGTAGGGTGGGAGCGAGGCTTGGGCCTTCGGCGTGCCCACGCGTGCACGCCGGTGTGCTAGTGCGGACACGCGCGGGGCAGCCATCCACTCTCTGAACAGGAAGGGGTGCGAATTGATGGGGGTGAAGGGAATCTTTTGGTTCGGTCTACTTCCTCCACACTCAAGTCCAGGCAGGGAGTCTTGGGGATATGTAGGCATGGACTCCAACACACCCACTCGGACAATGGTGACATCATGGCTTTCCGTCCCCATGGTAACGGATGGCCTGGTCTGAGGCTGCAGTGATTTAACAGCGGGCCTGGACTAAGAGGGAAGCGTGGACTGTTTCAATAGCCAGGCGCACGGTGAAAAGTTTTAGGGGAGCTGCGTCCTCTGGTGGATGCTTGGGGAGACGGAGATCTGAAGAAAGAAGAGGAAGATTAACTGCCCAGAGTGACAGTCCTGCTGGAGCCAGAGACAAGCTCTAAAGTTATTTCAGGCTGGATTATTAACGATAATCAAACCTCTGTTTTTCATTTTGCATGGCACCTTTTACCTTTTAAAAGCACTTCTTTAAATAGAGGATACTCGATTTAATTTTATCTTAACCCTGAAAAGATAACTAGAGCAAGCAACATCGTCACCATTTTACAGAAGGGAAAATTGAGGCACAGAGCTTTAACAAAGTCAGATGGAAAGTTTTAAAGGCTTGGTCACCCTACTCCAAGTTTGCCATTGCAAGGCCACACAGAATGGGTCACATATGGGTAGAGTCGGGGCCTGAGAAACAACTTGGTTGGATTTCGCTCCACAGGTGGCTGGCTCCCCACATCTGATGTAAGCTCAGGTTTTGGGATCGTCCTTCAGACTGTCCCCTAACATAATTTTAACTTATTTACTGTGAATAAGTAAGTAAATTAACTAGCGGTCTGCCTGATGCCAAGAATGGCCTCTCGCGGGTGAGTCCCCACTCGTTCTTGGTCTCCAGCAGCGGTCCCGCAGCAGCCGCATCGTGGCCCTGGCCCTTTAAGTTCGCTCACGAAGCCCCGCCCCCGTCCCAGCGCCCCGCCCCTCCCGCTCAGAGTCCGCGGCCTTCTCTAGTCTAGACTCGCTCCCCGCCCTCCCCAGCTGTGCGCTCTCGTTGCAGCTGTGCGCGCAGTTCGGGAGTCCCAGCCATGTCCGCCGAGAGAGAGGTAGCTGAGGCGGCCACCGTGGTGGCGGCGGCCGAGGCAAGGGGCAGGAGAAGACGCCCCTTCGCAGCCCCTGAAGGCGGAGGCAACCGGCGAGGCCCAGCCATCCGCGGCCCCGGAAGGG